TGTATATATATATATATATACTGTGTGTGTGTGTGTGTGTATATATATATATATATATACACGATAAATACACAGAAAATAAACATATAATTGAGCTACTGAATTTTACCTGCCAAAGGCTTTTTATTGTCTATCCATTCCTGAGATTTACACAGCTCCCTCACACAGCCAGGTAAATGACGCCACTACAAGTAAGGAATGCAGTGGTGTCCTTTCTCTGCCCAGGTCATCTCCCTCCTCACTCTGTGCTCTTCTCCTATCATCATGGTCCTTGTCAGCACATTTGCATGCAGCTCATCCAATTGGCTCTCAGTCTTGCCATTTTCTGTCACAGTATGAGTGCTGCTGTATGTGGGTTTGCAAAAAAAGCTGATGACAAGGAAAATTCAGGTACTTAAAGAAAAACTCCAGTTAAACATTTTATTAACCCTTGTAGTGGGGCTAGCGTTAAGTGCTCGTTTTTGTCTAGGTGCTGGAAAAAAAGTTATTCACCAGACCATCCGAGCCGGCTCCTTGCTTCTGATATCACTACAGTGTGTCTTCTCCTCCACTGCACAGATTAGACTGCTCCTCAGCGTCCTCACGTCTGCACATGGTCTATACACAGTGTATAAAGCGTGATGACACCAGGATCCTTAGACTGCTGCAGCAGAGGGGAAGAGACATTCAAGAAGCCGGTCTAAGAACAAGCCGGCTCAGATAGTCTGGTGAGTAAATCTTTTTCTTTATTTTTTAGCACCAAGACACAAACGAGCACTTAGCCCTTGCAATGCGGGGTAACCCCACTGCAAGAGTTAATAAAAAAAATTCCTGGAGTTCTTTAAATAAGTTGCATTTAAAAATATATTTCATATTTTATTAATGAATAAGGTTTAAGGGTTATTGACTAAATATTAATTTTTTTGGGTGTGATAATCCTTCACTAAAATAGAACATGAGTTTCCATGACAAATATCGGTAACAAAAATATAGTCATGTAAAGTTATCGGCGATCGGTCAGGACTTCACCTAGATGTCAGAAGAGTAAAAAAAAACAAAAAACAACAACTTTGTAATCATAGAGGCAAGCAAATACGTGTTTCAGTGTGCCTGTAAAGGACAATTAGGCTTTGTGCTGCTGCTGTTAGGCCCCTTTCATATGGACACCTGTTGGTTACGATCAGCAGGGAACCCATGCATGGATCCCTTGCAGATCGGAACAGTTCAGAAAGGATATCACCATTGTGACATCTTGAACATGTTAGGTCTATGGGGAGTCGGATGTAAATGGACATGTGTCCATTTACATTGGATTACCCCTGATCCACCACGATCAGGTCAGCCAAAACGGAACTCTGTTCCGTTCGGTTTTCTGGACCTGACCCGATTCGGGGATAATAGGATGTAAACAGACTCACGTCTGTTTAGATCCGTCCAGTGGCGTAACAACCGGGGGGCACTTGCCCCGGGCGCAGGACTGAGGGGGGGGCGCCGTCACGACCCCCGCTAAACAAAGCCCCTGGCCACCTCTCTCTGCCACATTCACCCGGCTGTCATCGGGCGGCCGCTCGCTCCTCCGAGGCCACTGCGAGCGG